CACTTTATTACTGTCCATCAAATCCAACACCCGGAGAGCGTAGCAAGGCTTCTTCTTCCTGAGTGTTTACGCTCTCAATGCTTTCGAGGTCCGAGTCTTCGTGCACTGTGGCACCCCTGTGCTGTAGCGTCGGTTTGGCAGTAGCAATACAACTGGTGTGAACCGCTCGCTTCACAGCAGAGGTGTGCCCGCTGGCGACACAGCGAGTAGACTCGATGTGCCTGCCGGTGGTAGTAGCCACTTCTCCCACCGACGTTTGGGCTGATCTCCCAGCCCGCTCTTCATCTTTTCTGACCACCATGTAGAATTTTTATGTTAGGGAACCTCTACCCTTGGCGTTTTATACCTACCGCCAGGTACCTCGTTAGCAATGGCAGATGTAGGCATACACCCCCTCCCCCAGTTTGATATGCAGAGCAAAGCACTAGGAAGAGAAGGATGGATACGTATTCCTGCCTTCGCTAGACGCTGCCTACTCGCACCGCCAAGACCTGCTCTAGGTACTAGCCTAGGTGCTAAGTCATCGCGTTGACAGCAGCGACGCCCATTGCCCAGTCGGCACCCGCGGGGAGGATACAGCTAAGAGGATTTTGCCGACCAAGAGTACACATACTCGAAAAAGGATAATTGCGTCTCGTTCATGCTGTTTAATGAACTCAGTCAGGCGTGTGCAACTCAAATCGACTGCCGACCACCATGCTTATTCATGCCGAATTTTAAGCGATTGTGGCTGGTCCCCGATTTGTACTTATGTATCTGTTGAATTATTGAACTGCCAAAAATTAATGACTTCACGGAGCCCTGGTACTTTTCTATGAAACCTTTGAGTTCCCCGGAAGCTACTTTAGGAAGTTTAGTGAAGGGTAAACTCTGCCAGAAATTGCAATAACTTCAAAACAATTTGTATTGTTATAAGCTCTATGGTTGCTTCAAATTCAAATATATATGTATATCGTCGACGTTTTTGCAAAACCACCTTAATCGCCGTAGTGGCAAAAATGAGATTTGGTAACCCTGAATTCCAGGCATCGTAATTTATGCATAAAAATCATAAAATCGTTATTAAAGCAACAGATTTGTAACATAATAGCTAGAGAAAATACCGCCTATCAAGGCAATGCCTTCAAAGAAAACCCATTTTTTCGCTCTCCTGTAAAATTTGAGTCCCTTATGATAAGCGGTGATGATATAATTGGGCAATTCACAAGGTGTCGTATTTGTCGTGTTTGTCGTGAAGTCATGATATTTCATGACAGTTGTAAAAATGTTGTTATTGTTTTGTGAAGAAAAATAACACATGACGATACAACTCTGCAACCTATGTTTATTCGGTGTTATGTGAGGTTAAGTGCTGAGATATAATAAATAATCTTAACAGGTGTTCACAACCGTCGTGTTTTAACACAACTTTTGTTAGGAAAATATAACTTCACAACGCCTTGTGAATTGCCCAAATATATCGTCGTTTAAAGTGCAAAACCGCGTATCAGAAATTATTTTCTAGAGTGTATAAACGCTCATATTTCAAAATGGTGCTCTTTTCTATAAAGCAATCGCATATCTGCCTAGTATATTTCAGGACGAATGTATAAGGATTGAGCCAAGAGCTTGTGTGAGCAAATCCAATTTTTGCCAGCCAATGTCAGTTTCGCGGTTTTGCAGAATCACGATACCCGGTTTTGTACTTTAAACGACTATATGTATGTTTATATATACATATATATAATAACCTTTATATCAAATTTGTTTACGATTCCTGCGTTGATAAAAATGTGAATATCTCTAAAAAAGGATGAGCTACGATTTTGATCTCGATGGATTTGGATCCTACAAATTATTAAGAAAAAGGCCGCGAAAGCCGATTTTATACACACTTTTATAAAACTTAAGACTGGTTCAAGACCACCGTGCGGGCTAAGGAAAATTTACTAAAAATAACGTTTTTGTGTATAATTACTGTTCATATAATTAAAACACGCCGTTTTTTGTCTTCTTAATAAAGTAAATATTAAAAAACAATCCCTAGATGTCTGTACTCCCAATATTTACTATTATTGATTTCATTTATTTGTTAACCGACCAATAAGGATATGCTTATTTGGTTTTTCGTAGTTATAATAATAATAACAATAATAGACTGGCGCTTACATATTTGTTAGTGTTTAGCCGAGCTTCTCGTAGTTATGATACATATCGTTACCTTAATATAGAAAGGCCCTAACTCATATAGCCGCTGAAATGCAAAAAAGCCGTAACTAACTAAAAATTTGTATTGCTTAAAATTATGTGGGGACTTAGAATTCGATGAAATGCATCATAATCAATCAAAAGGGAATTTTGAATTTTTACTTAGTTACGGATTTTTGTATTTCAGCGACTATATGAGTTAAGGCCTTTCTATATTAAGGTAACGATATGTATTATTTGCAATGATTCCATTTTTTTTCATAAAAATTTATTGCATGCAGGTCCAATTAAGTTGCCATGTTCCATAAGTAGTTCGAGTTGTTTTGACCGATTGTTATCGAATGTTAAACGCGAATGGCGATTTGTTTCCAGAGTCTGCGACAGAGAACCATCGAGTTGTTTTAACAACCGCTGGCCAGCAGTAAGGCCGAGATGATTTTGTCGATTGTTAGCGAATATGTTAGTTCAGCTTACTGCCCGTCTCCACAGGATAAAGTTTATATCTTCATACATATGTTAGAATATAAATATCCAATGGAGACCGCTTATTGCTCTTCAAGAGCAATATATATCAGGGCTTATATATTGCCATCTACTTGAGCTGTTTGCTATTAAGATATTTGTTATTATGTACTTGGATGTAAAATAGTCTATTTTCCAAATTTTTAAGTGATTAAATCGGGTCAAAATACCTTTTAGAAGCCATCTTACAAATGCTTATATCAAGAGCCCACACAAATATTGCCAATGATATAACTTATATCTAGCAACCAAAATGGCAGCTGAACAGCATTAAATTTTATCCTGTGGAGACGGCGAGTTAAGCACGACAATTTCGAGTGGCAATTAGTATTGAGTAATGCAGAGTTTTTGCTGCATTTAAAATGCAACATTTAGCACTTTCGAACATATGTTTTCGAAGAGCGTTCATGCTATCGCATTTAGCAAATGTACATTTACGCGAGTTCGAAATCGTATGCTTTTGACAAACAGCCGTGTTCCAGTCGCTTATTCAGATCCGTATCTCTTACGATAAATTCTCACGGAAAAGATAATGTCCAAAAATCCCTACTGAAAAGGAAAAAATAAATTCTAAACCGAAAATTCAATACAAAAACTTGAATTATTTTAACCATAACCAAACATTTGTTTGTGTATATATTCATTTGTCGGTGCTGTCAATTATAATTTCCACACTTAATTAGGAAACAAAACAAACAGAGTTGATCACAAATTAATCCAGATTTCTATCAGCATCATATCGATGTTTAATTTGCGTAACTTTTCTTTGTCCAAATAATGTAAAATAATAAATGTAATGAAATGAAAATCTCGATCGGCGATCACTGAAACGCAGCTAGCGACTGTATACTCGAAAAAGCAATGTTGCCACTTCTTCTCATTAAACCATGTTCGAATCGTGGAAATTTTGGAAGATCACAGGGTTGCTTTTAGCATTTAGATTCTAAATGCAAAAATGGAGTTGCATTTAGTTGCATTTAGGTGACGAATTTTGTATGGATAAATGTACATTTAGAGTAGCATTTAGAGCTAAATGCGCTAAATGTGCTTTTACGCGTAAGCAAAAACAGCCCATAACTCAACACTGTACTGAGTTACTGTGCTGACTCTTAGAACTGCGCCGCGCGCTCAGACTCATCTCTGAAAAAATTTGTAGTTCAGTAACTCAGTTTATGTGCTGACAATGTATAGCTCAGTATGCTAAAGAGGCGATAATAACTCAGTTGATGTGCTGACACTGCAAAGCTCGGTGCGGCTTGCATTGTTTAGAACTGTGTCGATGTGGTAACTCAATTGATGAGCTCACACATTCATACAATACGATCTTCCAAAAAGTACCATAATAGATGGCATCACTAGACTAACTATCAATAGAATATACGACCACTAAATTTAAAAAGAAGCAAGGCGAATAGCCCAGTTATGCATACTTGCACTGCTATACCATTTTTACGTAAAAATCAAAATCAAAAAGAAATCTACATGTGAAGTGCTATGCGTTGGGTAACCGCTTACGTGCATAGCCCATTTAATAGATTCCTTATGTGACAACTCTCAAGCAAAACTAAGTAGAGAATTATTTTGCAAATGAACTCACCAGTTGAAATCAGCTTTCTAAAATTTTGCCGGCCAGCTACGAACAGAAACTAAGGATAACCTTTTCTAAATCGATTTCAATTACTAACATCATCAATAATTTCGATGTACATACCAATTGTGCGATAGCACACTTGTGCCAGCTCACTGTGCTGACTCATTAGAGTGAGTTGGAGTTACTGAGTCAGGACACCAAAATTTACAGAGTTACCCACCCGTAGTGGCAATTCGTCTAGAGAGAAAACATCGAGAACAATCGAGATATTTGAACAATCGAATAATCGACTAAAACATCTCGGACTCGCCCATTACTAAGGTTGAGACAACTAATTTATATCAGTGCTTTGTTTTATAGGACGATATAAAATTTCTGCAAAGTATAACAATGAGTGACAAGGAACTAGCAGCAGACACAAAAGATTGCTATGAACCAGTGGACAATGCGTGGACCCTAAAAGTGCCCGAGTTTAAACCTGAGGACAATCCAAGTGGCATGATAGAAGAGAGCTCATTTGCTACTCTATTTCCTAAGTATAGAGAAAAATATCTCAAGGAAGTCTGGCCACTAGTGAAACAATGTCTCTCAGACTATCATTTAAAAGCGGAACTAGATCTGGTAGAGGGTAGTATGGTTGTGAAAACTACTCGTAAAACTTGGGATCCTTATATTATCATCAAGGCGCGGGATGTGATAAAATTGATGGCGCGCAGCGTTCCCTTCGAGCAAGCGCGTCGTGTTTTACAAGATGAAATTGGCTGTGATATCATTAAAATTGGAAATTTAGTTACAAAAAAGGATAAGTTCGTGAAGCGCCGTCAACGCCTAATTGGTCCCAATGGAGCAACCCTTAAATCAATTGAATTGCTTACTGATTGCTATATTTTAGTGCAAGGCAATACTGTGGCAGCCTTAGGTTCTTACAAGGGTTTGCAACAAGTGCGTGACATTGTAATAGATACAATGAAAAATGTGCATCCTATTTACAATATCAAGGCTTTAATGATTAAACGTGAATTAATGAAAGATCCGAAACTTGCTAACGAGGATTGGTCGCGATTCTTACCAAAATGTAAAAGTAAGAATATTAAACGTAAACAGCCTAAGTTCAAAAATCTAAAGAAGGAATATATGCCTTTCCCATCTCCACAAGCTGAGAGCAAAATCGACCAACAACTCTCAACGGGAGAATATTTTCTCAGTAAGGAACAGAAACAAGCACGAAAACAACAAGAGCGCCATACAAAGCAATCTGAATCTGCCAAAAAACAAGAGAAACGCCGCAATGAAGATTTTATACCACCCATTGAAGATATGCTGTCGATAAGTCGCAAGAGTTCGCCTGATAAACAAACTAAGGAATTGAATATTAAGGCACTGAAAGCAAAGGTAGCAAAAGTCACTAAAATTATGAAGAAATAAAGATAAGATTAGCTGCATATTTCTGGATGGCCGCGTGCATGGTAACCCCACAAAGGTGTTGTTTGCCTGTTTCAACCACTTATCCGCATACAATTTCAGCCTTCGATCAGGTGTACCCAATCGAGCGAAACTATAACAATGGCCCTTATTATGAGCTGCATTCGATTTTCGATCTTCGCTGGCTATCGAAGATCGAAGATCGAAAGTGAAATTCGTATTATGAGCTATGCAAGCGTGTCGAAATTTGCGTTGAGTATCGAATTTTCTGTCGAACAGAATTTTACTTTCGATGGTGTAGCGAAGTGTTAGAAAATTGTTAAAAATGTATGATTTTGTATATGTTTTCTTACATTTTGGCGGCTAGACACTAATTTTAAACAATTTTTATTAATTTCATGCAGTTCTAACATCGCGAATACTAAACACAAGCTCGAAAGGCTGGTTTTACTTGTGACAGAAAATCCCAATACTCTGTTGGCGCGATCTCTGAGAACAAAATCGTAGCGCTGTTGATAGTTTTAAAATATTTTAAATAGATTTGGCTCACAAACGCTTCTTTAGATGGTCGGAACTTTTTAATGAATCTGTAGACAAATTTCTTAAATATATTTTATATCAAAATATATTCGAAAGACTAATAAACTTAAACTCTCTTAAACATTTGCTACTCCTGGCCAGTTTACTTAGCTCTCATCCTCCGACGAATCGTTGAACCAGAACTCGTTGTACACATTTTACCACGTTTTTATAAACTTGCTTTCTTTTTTACTTCATTTTAATTAGAACAAATTTACATAAATATGTATAAGCACAATATTTAGTTTGCTCGATTTGTAAACAAAGCTTCTCAGCGGTGAAAAATATACTATTGTGAACAACCTAAACGAGCGAAATTCACAATAGCGCTATTCTTCATCGAATGAGCGCCATAATACCAAATGAAAATTCGTTCGCTCAGCACTTTCGACCACAGTCGAAAATCGAATGCAACTCATAATAGGGGCCAATATCCTAACAAATTTCTTGAAGGACCGGATATAATACTGCTTCATGAGCACTACAGATATCGCAA